TCTGGCTAGACTTATGAATCCTCCCAAAACCACGATGTTGCTAGCTCGATCTCTTCTTTTCCTTTTCTTCCTATTCCTTTTCAAGAAGTTGTTAGCGTCATACTTTTGAAATAATTATATTAATTTTATTTTTTTTTAGTTTGGGTGAGGGATTGAATTAAGAAAGGGGAAAAGAGAAAAGGTAGATGAAATGTAAATAAAATATACCTACATTTCACTTAATTTCACACACCTTTTCTTTTTTCTTTTCCAAATCTCTCTCCCAAATCCTCCAACCAAACACAGCGTAACAGTCCCTATAGTTTAGAACTTGTATCACTTTGGTCATTGACCTTTTAATGGTGATACATTTAACCTTGAATTTTGAATCTCGTTCCAAATAAGGACAATCAAATATATCGTTTCCCTATTTGAAGTGCAAAGTCGTCATACAACTTATTTTGTATTTGTTAACTTATATGTTGTTTGAAATATAATGATATTTTTTTAATGAATAATGTTACAATTTTTTTTTTGTTATAAAGTCCTGTTTGGTTTCATTTTAAGAATTTATTTTCAAACAAATTTTTAAAAAACTAAAAATTAAATTGGTGAAAAACAAATTAAAAACCCATCATTTTTATATAATTTTATCTTTTAGGAGGGTAGAAATAATTTTTTTGATATTTATTTTTGTTAAATTAATTTTTATTTTTTCAAAAGTCAAACATGGCGACAACTTTGATGTCATTATTAAACCAATCCATTAAATCAAAAAAATCCAAAACTAAAAACATTTCATATATTAAATATATTGATTATACATTAAAAGCCTAATAACCATCATAACCATTCAAAAATATCTGTTAATAACAAATACAACTATTTATTACATGATAACTAGCTAAAAACATCAACAAAAACAATCACTCATTACATGATCATCATCCAAACACATACTAAAAATTAATTTGGGAAAAAAATAAAAATGTAAAATTTTTATCATTTTTATATAATTTTATCTTTGGTGAGTAAAAATAATTTTTTGGCATTTATTTTTGTCAACTTAGTTTATATTTTATCAAATTGATGACTTTGCTCTTGAAATGGAGCAACAATATCATCAATTGTCCTGATTTTGAAGCGAAATTCAAAATTCAAGGTCAAATGTGTCAAAGTTCAAAGGTCAGGAATCAAAGTAACACAAGTTCCAAACTACAAGGACCGTTAGTGTAATTTGCTCTTATTGTTTGTTATGTACTTTTAAAATAATTACACTAATCTTTCTTCGACTTGTTACAAAACCTTTGGAACTCAGTATTATTATATTTAGTTACATACTTTTGGAATAATTACATTAATTTTTCTTTTAATATAGTTAAAACGATCGAAATTAATGTTAATAGTGGGTAGACACTGAAATACATAAAGATAAATATATATTTTAAAGGAAAAATGATGATAACATTATTTTCTCATTCGCATTATTAACAAATTGCGAATGAAAAAAATAGTGTAAGTGTTATATAAAATAAAACGTTGATAGAGACAATATAATTATATCAAAATGTTAGATTAATTCTATTTTTTTTGAACTTTAGAAAAGGTCAAAATAAAAATATAAAATATTATTTTCTGTAACTCCGTCCGTCTAACAACACCAAGGGGAAATGATTTAACTCGAAGTGTAATTTCCCCTTTTTAATAAGCGGAGATGATTCAACTCGAGGTGTTTTTGGGCTCTCATGGCTCACTTGATTATTTAAAAAGAAAATTGCAAATCACTTGTAAGACTAAATGAAATTGCAAAGTGATAAAAAAATTTATAGTTTGAATTATTAAAGTTAATTAGTCTTACCATTAATTTGAAATTTATTTTGAAAACATGCACTAAATTGCAGTTTCTCTTGATTTAAATTGTTTATATAATAGGGTTTATTGAGAAAATTATTTAAAAGAACAAAAAATTATATTATTTGGACAACAATAATCATATGATTAGATCACATTTGTTAATTATAAAAAATAATTAAAAATATATTGAATGGTAAGTATAATTTTAAAAATGAATTATTCATTGATTTAAAAATAAATATAATCTAATAATGCGTATTACATTCAATTAATCTGATTTTGGATAGGGAAATTTGGGTGTGTTACAAGGACCTGGAGAACCTCCATAGTCGGCAATTGCCTAGGTGTGATTTCTTTATGGGTCCCCTTATTTCTCCTCATTCCAAAAATTTAATTTTGAATTGCCTGGTTTCTTTGTGGTCCCCCTTAGTTTATCCTGATTCCAAAATTTTAATTTTGTAGTTGCCAAAATTTAATTTTGTAATTGCCTGGTTTCTTTGTGGTCCCTCTTGGTTTATCCTCATTCCAATTGTGTATCCTTCTTCCAAAAGTTTAATTACGCCTCCCTTTTAAATATCCGAGTAAGGTTCTCAACTTCTCATATATGTACACATGAATCAATCTTTCAGTGCGTGCACTCTCTGTCTCACATTCATCTGAAGAAGGCTCTCATCTTGTCCTCTAGCTGAAGACATCTCAGAAGAGTTGAATTTGAGGTATTGTTCTCTCTCTCTCTGTCTTATCTAAAGAAGGCACTCTAGCTTTGAGTTCTTGATATATTTCGAAGTCTATATGCAAGCTTAGCTCTCTAAACCTAATAATGTATAAATGAGATTATTGATTGATGATTAAACTCGAATCCAAGATTACCATCTTCAGAGCCTCTATGGAATGCTCATTTTTGCTACCCCTACGTTGCCTCAAAGGATTGTAATGGTGCCATGTCCCACATTCTGTATCATGGACCATGATTGTCTAGTGGTTTGAATAATGGGGTAGTGGATGTATCTGTTTCCTTGAGCAGCGTTAATTTGGGCTTTCAAGTATCGGTCTCTGGATGTCGAGCTTGGGTTCCGCATCATGTCCTGTACACACATTATCAATTAGACTTTACCAACAAACACAACTATTGCACAACAAGTGCATTATGACAACAGGGTTCTGTTACCATACCACACAAATGTTGCTATAAAAATATGATCGGTCAACATATTCACTTTCAGCTGCCGCCCTCGTTTGCAAGTCCATAAGCATATCGATGTATGCATCAATAACCTGGTTGGAATACAAGTTGGTGAATCTGTTGCCTCGTAATTACATACATTTAGTAAAGGGAATAAACTAGCCAGCTCAACCAAGCTTCAACGTATGTCACTTACACTGTTATTGATTACTGACTGTTGAACCAAAGATTGTATGTCTGTGAATCGTACGTGCACACCACTCCCTTTGCCACCCCATATTATAGCCCTACACCACACAGAAACCACATAAAACATTTCATAAGTACTAACACAGTTTTAAAAACACACAAACTACAACTCAATATAGGAACACACTCGTCACTCTCAAAACTGTACACGTCCTTCAACCGTTTCTACTCATTCAGACTAAGTATTTTCCACACTGGGTGTTGACTAGTCATTCTAAAACCAGCCCAAGTCTTTTCTGTGTCCGTACAGTCATCAACATAAACCAACTCCCAATTCGCATCCTCATACCTTTTTTCCAGATTCTTACGTTGTTTATTACGTCTACCAACACCGGGATACTCGTAATCTGTTAACCTCCACTCTCGTCTTTGTTTATCTTTCACTCGTCTCACCAACAAATTTATGTTTGGCATTATGACGTTAGCAACAATAATCTGCGGACATACCTTGTCCACACCATCCGCGTTGCCTGCGTTGTCTGCCGTGGTGGACTGTTGGGAGGGTGACGTCATTTTTGACAACACTGCACATATTGAACTAGCAACACCTCTGTCCAGATTTGCTGCATTGTGTTCGATCCCATAATGGTCAAACAATGGAATGTGTCGCAGCGCTGATGGCTCACCCACATTCATGCATTTTTCCTTCGTCACCCAGTCTATTATGCTTGCAGTAGCCATTGCGAGTGTCATAGTTAGTGGCGTAGGAAAATCTACAATGCAATTATGCTTTACAGAATTCTGAACACAATCTATGCTTCCTACTGGGTCAAATGTTGTCACCCGGCAATCGATATCATTCATTACTGATTGGCTGACTTCGTGTGTCTCACGGTCGTCAATTTGATCTTCCAATTTGATGATTTTTTTTCCATATTATTATTATTATCATCATCATTTTTTCTTTAGATTGATTTATTATTGATTCTAAAATAAAAATGTTTTAGAATTTATTTATTTTTTGATGGATTTTTGGGTAAATTTTGCTTCTGTTTTGGAACTGTTTGATGGGAAACATGATAAGAAATGGAGAGAGAGAGAGAGAGAGAGAGAGAGGAAACGGTTGGCTTTAGTGACTTGACAACTTTGGCATTTGCTAAACATAGCAGCTACCAAAACTTACCATTGGAGGTGGATTTCTATGAACTGCTACCATAATTTGGCAATAATAGCTTCAATGGCTTGCCATGCTCTTATGGATCACATACCAAAAGCTAATATAATTTGTATAAAAATTTAGTTTTTTACTTATTTTTTTTTTTTTTTTTCTCTATCATGCTTTTCTTTGTGAGAAATTTTAGATACATAGCAAATATCAATAATGTTATAATAATTATATTATTTTTATTATCTTATGTGAATTTTAGATACATAGCAAATGTCAATAATGTTATAATAACTACATTTACTTATTATATTATTTTTATTATCTAGTAACATTTACAAGACATGGTAATTGAGATTATATATATATAATAAACTATCTTGAAAATTTATGATCTTTCCCCAAGCAACACACAAAAAAACCTTGCCGGACACATTCCATTATCCATAATTGTACAAAACTGTATAGAAGAGCAAGTGCCTATCACATCGCATGAGTTATAAACAAAGAAAACAACAAAGAAAAAGATGCTAAAAGTTGCAAAAGTTACATGTACATTTGTGACATTTTTTCTTTATGAAAGAGCTGGTAAAGAGCAGTATTACCTGTATCTTTCATTGAGTAATTTTGTCATACAGAAACCTCTTCTCCACCTTCCCTTAGCCTTTGAATTGCATTGTACAATTTCCGCCGAGGCCCAACAGCGAGCACGCCCATCTCCTTGAGATCTTCAAGAGTAAGTAAAGGCAAAGCTTCTTCATCCACCTCATGTATTTCAAATACGCCAGCATACTTACCAAACCCCTGCTCTTCCAACCATTTCTCAACACTATTTACATTATAACTAACAATATTCATCTTCTCACATCCACAAAAAGATTGGGGAAATGTGTTATTGCCTTCCGAACAAGAACCCTCCTTCCAAAATCCATTTGAATTCCTTTGCATCGGTTCATCAGTATCATTTTCACAAGCTTCCTTACTCGTGGCCGAAGTTTCACGACTTGAAGAGTCCTTAAAACCGCTACCATGGTAAATATCCCAGGAACCGTTTGATGTGACCCCAAAAACCTCCTTCTCTCCACACTCTTTTCCATCTCCACTACTGATTTCAGGACTAAATGTAGAACTCGAACCACCAATGAACCGCCTTCGTCGCTTCATTACCCTACACTTTCGGGTTATGGTTCCGAAATCCAGATTTGACTTACAAGCACCAATTTTATCCGAACTGACAAATTCAAGAACCGGTTTCAAAGAGTTTGGGTTATTATTCTCTCTGTTATTATGTTGCATATCGGTTGAAATCATTTGAGGGACACCAGGATTTGAAACTGTGACTTTGGATGGATTTTGCAGAGAAAACCCACAAATTGGATTGTATTCTGATTCTTCATGAATCAGAAAATCATGTTTCCACCTCTTCTCCCCCAAATTTGCCCTAGTTTTCTGAGGAAAACCACAAGCAAAAGCAGCCGAGACATCTCCTATTTCCCCTAACCTAACATTTGGGCGCCTTTGCCTCTTTGAATTCATGCTTAGGACCAACATTTCCCACAAACCCTAGAGCTCAAAATCTGAACAAAACCCTAAAAACACACCCACAAAATAAAATTAAAAAAATCATAGCCAGCAAACAATAAATCTAAAGAAACCCAACAAAACCCAAAAAAGCAGATATATATATATATATATATATCAACAAATTTTATGATGAGAATTAATGAGGGGGATGAGAAAGAAATGATAAGAGACCCAACAGTTGTTTCGTCTCTTGTGAAAGAAAGGATTATCCAGGCAGAATTAAGAAATTTACCGAATGTCGAGGTAGGACACATGTCGCACTTTGTAAAAATCTTCTCCTTCTTCACCATTGA